TACTCTTCACTGACTGACAAGGTTAGGTTCCAAAGAAGGGGTCGGTACGTGACCGCATCTGATCACAAAATGGAAGGTGACCATCTCATTACAGAACTGCCAAACCCCTGAGCATCAAGGCCCAGCCAAAGTGACATGTAACCAAGCCATCCGTGAGCGTCACTCGTCTTGCACCCTGGCATGCCTCACTGCCAGATAGACACTGTTCATCGGGGAAAAACAAAAAAAAAAAGTTGCAAAGATTTTTTTTGGGGGTGTTCCTGTAAAATGCTGAAAAACGAGATAGTGGGTAAGCGAGGGGTTGGTGCATACTCAAGTCAACACAAATGCCGACTCAGTGTTGGACAGCAGGGCAGAGCACGCAACAAAACGAGGAGGGCGCCCCTTCGTGGTGCTGACTAGTGCTGGAGCCATCAATGGGTGACTCTGAAAGCACTCGGTTTCGACAGGGCGGGGCACACCAGCTAAGGCCAAACTGAGTTGATTAGGAGACACCGGACCAGGTCACCAAATTGTTGTGGTAATCAACTAGGACCTTACTGTGAACATCATTTGAACACTGTACAAAACATCAGTGCAATCATAAACAATAACATCGATAACAAAAGCCTACTAAGGGAGCAAGTAGCATCAATGTAGGGGAGTCTAGGCTACAAGCCTCACACTTTTTTAAAAACCAAAAGAAGACAAACCTTAAGAAAACATTTCAAAAAACAAAAAAAGGAAACACATTTCTGCACAGCTCTGTTTAATACATCACACAAGGAACTGTAGGTTATGCGAAATATGTCAATAAAATGTTAACATTTGAATTTTTTTTTTTTTAAGGAAGAATTATCAGGACACTGAGGAAAAGAGAATCCCTCCTTTTTAGTGTGGCGGAGGAGAAAAAAACAAAAACACATTTCCCACTTATATTATCCCAAGACATTTACTTTCCAGTCGACTGTAAGTGGGCTGCTTTCCCACTGCAACTCTCCTCCTTGTCTTCCAACAACACTTAAGGTGATTTCATCACTATGAGGGGGGTGGGGGGTGGGGGAGAGCACTAGCAAGTCACCTCATTCCTAGACCCAAAATCATTACTGTTTTTAACAAATCAAACTGAATACTAAAAGGCAGAAGTCCAGATCTATACTGAAGTATTCATTGAGTGCTACAATCTACAAAAAGCATTTTACCTTCATTGTAAGGTACCGGATTGCCAATCTTTATCCCTACTGCTTCAGCCAACTTCAAAACGTCCAACTCCATCAAGATAACAACTTTCCTATAAAAGCAAACAAATACAAACAAGTCAGATAGAATAAACATAAATAAATTCACAAGTCCGTTAGCCAAATGATAAGCTATTAAAAGCATTCCCTTGATGATCATTTTGATAAAACCACTTTCCTTTCTCAACATTTTTCCACTGCTGCTACGTGACATCAGTTGTTAGTCAAAAGCAGAAGCAAACCATTTTTCTAATTAAGAGAATAACTGAAAAAGTTAGAAACCATTTGAAAATATAGTTAGAACTTCCTACATGGCATAAATACCTAATCAGATAGAAATCCCTATTTTATTGAAAGGGAAAACAAGGATGCCTGAGTAATCACTTCATTGTGATCTAGTGCATCAGATGTCCATCTGACTCTCTCACTGGGGAGGTGGGGGGGAAAGAGTTGCAGAGAAGCTAAATTCTAATCTCATGCAATGTTAGGTCAATAAAGAAATGCCTAATCTGAAACCTCAACAAAGAGTAGCACAAAGGTTTTATTCAGAAAATAAATACAGAAACTAAAGCAATGCCCCTCAGAATTAAACACAGACGGCCTGTAAACAGGAGTAACGGCCAAAGAACAAGACAGGGGAATGCCATTGTGCTTGTTAGGTCCACACCTTGCAACGATATTTGACTTTTACAGCGTGTTACACACGGAACCAGATGGACAGAGACCAGATCTACTCTCCGGCCTGAAACAACGAGATGCGCTATCCAAACCAAACACGTCACGAAGGACAGTGACGGCTGAGAGGCAGGAGCAAACAACACGAGGGTGACTGTAACCGTTACCGCCTGGGGTGTTCCTAGGTTGGCAACACCGGGTAGAAGCACCTCTGGGCTGACTCCTGAGAGTCTGGGAACCACTGAAGACGGAGTAGCACCGTTTGTGTTTTGAAAAATGTCAACATGGTCCAATTTTCATTTTGAATTCTTCCAATCCATTTAGCTGGCCCTATCCTCTTTATTTTTATTATTTTTGAGGCTTTCAATTTACAACCTTAAAAGAAAATACACCTAGGCTTTACTCTGGTACAAAGGGAGGCTCCAAGCCTTCTCTAGAATGATTCTCTCTCTTGCTTAAAGTAATAAACTTTGTGTTGCCCCTGATTCTGATTGTCCATTCT